TGCTGGCATAAATGATCCCGAAGGACCAGAAAAATATAACAACACTGAAGTGAACTTAGTGAATATCCACTGAAAATAATATTTTTTAATATTAGACAGGTTGCGTGACCTTATATAAACGGTTGTTTGTAAATATAACCCGAGCCGTCAGTCGAGGTTTATATTGCAAACAACCGTTTATATACAGCCATATAACTTGTCAGGAATATCTATAACGAATTTATAAAGCTTCGAAATCGGAAGTTCTTTTTAAGGAGTAAAATTAAGATTTCCACCTCATGAAAATATATGGAAATTTATCATGTTTCGTGAATATATTCTATATTTCACTCAAACGAATAATATCTTAATATTTCTTTAAAACTTAACCCATCCTCGCTGTCGTCGTTGTATCATCATCATTATCATAGAAATAAGCATTGTCACTGGTATATCACGATCGTTTTTTTTAACTTACATAAGAAAAAAGAATTCTAGATTAATTATGATGAGATTAATCGTTTACATTGTATACTAAGCCGAGTTATGGACTAACTTAAACTTAATTTATTGTCCTGATATGTGCTTAAATAAACAGACTACTAGTATTCAAAATAGACATTATGACGACTGAATGTTCGCTATTTACATTCATTTAGATATTTGCAATTCCAATATTTCATCCATGAAAGCAACATTTTTCAAGTTTGAATCTTGAGAGTATACTTACACCCTGAAACATGTTAATTGCTGTAGCCTGAAAAAAGTGAGGGAAGGTATTGACAAGAAGCTCGGCCAGAATATTTGTTTTGACTTAGTAAAGTGTTTAAAATGTCTGATTTCCACTTGCAGCCTTTACTGCACAATCGTCAGTCTACAGTCGATTTCCCTCAGTTACTAGTCTAGCTTGCTGTTTCTATTTTAAGTTTTTACCTTTCAATAGTAATCACGTCAGTTTCATTTTCAACATTTGCAATTTTTCTTGGTTTACGTTTTATTACGACCATTCCTTCCTGCTTTAACACACTGTTCGCGGTATTCAAATGTTTACATAATTCAATCGTTAATAACTAACGAGTATAAGGAACGAACGATTGCTTAACTATCGCTTTCGAGATACCCGCGCTAGTCTCTCGTTCACCAACCTTCCGTCAATCGTCAGCACGTTCGTAAACGCAAATATAACGATAGCTTCGAGATACTAACCCCTGAGTCATGGTATAATAGAATAAAATCGTTTTATGGAATGTATTAAATCATTTCCTTTTATGGTTGGAATTGTCACAAAATATAAAATACATCATGCTTTGCAATTTCTTGTTGCAAATTAACAATTTACATGCAAAAAATGTATGACATTATCGTGTCATATATTTAAATGAATGCCTCAAACATGACACTCCTATTAAATCCATCTCCGTTACTGGAAATTATAATACATTTATTCTATAAAACAAAACGACTGTTTCAAATAAACATTGTACAAATGAATTATTCAAACTTAATGTTTTTTATACTTTGTTTCAAGATTTTTCATTAAAAGATTCCCTCAATTTTAAACTGACCCACTTGGATCTGTTGATATTAAAACTTATTCAAAAAGATATTTGTTACAAGGCTATTTCTACAGATATAATATGTGTTTATACGGCGGTTACCATAGATCCTTCATGTAACACGTGAACGCCATTCTGTGAAAAGCGACGTATGGTCGCAAAGATAAAGAATGCATTTGTCCTAAAATGACTAAAACCGCAATATTGAAAATATTGTAGGCTCAGTTTGACTGGGCTTGTTCATAAAAACTTAGAAGGGAACACAAATGCGTCAATTGTGGCAAATAAATGCATGTATAGGTTCTGTGACGCAGCTAGTCTGAATATATAAAACAGTTTCCTTTGGGCAATACAAAAAGGTTTCGTTATGGTAGGGGTTTCCAAAATAATCAAATCTACTACCTAAAGGGAAAAAAATTTTTAACAATAAAAAGAGGTCAGTTTTTTAAAACAGTTTGTAAAAGAAGTTTTCTAAAAACACCAAAAATGACAAAAGGGAGTCAACATTATTTTTGGTTATGACGCTGTATATTATTTTATTGGGGGCGGGTGGCTGGGGTGGCTTCATTCGTCGAAGGAAGGCATCATTTTTTAAATTTGGTGCATGTTGTTGACAATTAAATATCCTTGGCCCCGGGGATCTATTCGTTTGTACTTCACGAATATAGTTGAAGTTAGTTGTCGGAGAGGTAAATGCGTTACAGACTATATACATGTATATGTTCTCCGGAGAGATTTATCTGCCGAGAGGTGTATGCCGCATAACAGGATTACTAAATAACAAAGAAAATTGGCTATTTATATTTCATAGAGCCATTATATTGTTAAAATATACAAACTTATATTAAAACAAAATTTTGATAAGAAATACACTTATTCATTTAGCTACATGTGATTTTGTTAGGGATGGGATATTATTTGAAAGAATAAAAATTTCATGTTCCTACCAATAATAAAATGGCATTATGGTCATGTTTTCGCTGTCAAATTCTGCCGAGTTAGCTACTGAATACTCTTATTTTAATGGTGATAAATACACATATGTCATATTGTGACTTTCCAGCTTAACTGTTGAAGGACAGTCCTCAAGTCCATCATTTCAAAGTCCTTGGTGGGATTCGAACCCACAGCAGTGCAGGGCAAATAGTTTGAAGTTAACCCATAAACTGCCAAACCACTCATCCATGAAAAACTCCCATCCCAGACACATAATTATGATATGTTCAAATGGAATACTTTCAGTAGTTTTGAAGACAAAATCTTGCTGCAAAACTTAATTAGGCATTTTAAAACATTTTCAAGTTATAATTTAGTCAAAATCAATTTCCGAATGTGGGTCTTGGAAAGTGACATTCAATAATGAATCCGAAGACCTTTGATAATTTTAAAAAAGATTACCTTAAGTAATTTTAGAGATTAATTTGAACACAAAATTTAAAACAAGAGCACCGCTAGGCGGAGCATTATATGCCCGAAAGTGTTATTTTTTATAGTTAAGGATGAAGCATTTGTAAGACATGGGAATTAGCTGTTCATCCTATAAAATTTTACAGCTGTAGGTTGATTAATACTTAAGTTAATTAATAATGACCTTAACCTTTGACCTTGTGACCCGAAAATCAATAGGGTCTTCTACCTTATATGGACAATCATCCTAAGAAGTTTGAATATTGTGGGCCAATTGGAACTTTAATTATGCTCTAGAAAACTGTTTTTCAGTATTAAGGTAAAAGAGACTTTGACCTTGTGACCCAAAAATCAATATGGGTCTTCTACCCAATATGGACAATCATCCTATGAAGTTTGAATATAGTGGGCCAAATGGAACTATTGTATGCTCCGGAAACTGTTTTTGGTTTTAAGGTAATTGTGACCTTGACCTTTGACCTAGTGACCCCAAAATCAATAGGGGTCTTTTGCCCAATATGGACAATCATCCTATGAAGTTTAAATATTGTGGGCCAAATGAAACTTAAGTTATGCTCCGGAAACTGTTTTCAGTTTTAAGGATATAGTGACCTTGACCCTTGACCTTTTGACCCCAACATCAATAGGGGTCTTCTACCCAATATGGACAATCATCCTATGAAGTTTGAACATTGTGGGCCAAATGGAACTTAAGTTATGCTCCGTAAACTGTTTTCAGTATCAAGGTTATAGTGACCTTGACCTTGTGACCCCAAAATCAATAGCGGTCTTCTACCCAATATGGACAATCATCCTACGAAGTTTGAACATTGTGGGCCAATTTGAACTTAAGTTATGCTCTGGAAACTGTTTTCAGTATGAAGGTAATAGTGACCTTGACCTTTGACCTTGTGACCCCAAAATCAAAAGGGGTCTTCTACCCAATATCGACAATCATCCGATGAAGTTTGAACATTGTGGGCCAAATGGAACTTAAGTTATGCTCCGGAAACCAAATCGGACGGACGGACAGACAGACAGACACCAGGGGGTATAACATAATATGCCCTTTCGGGCATATAAAAAGGGTTGTTTTTTAGTTCACAAAGAGCCATAGTTCATTTCATGTTTTGAATTGTGACCTTCAATTATAATACAGAAAACATGGGCAGTTTCAAACAGGGCCATTATTCAGTTAATGCCCCAGTTAGTATCATTGGCAGTGGTCTCCAATCATGATCTCAAACACTTGGCTCAAGTTTCAAGTAAATATATTTTCTTGTTTAATGGGAAGTTGTGCAGATTACCTTAATCAGTGTCCACATATTCTCCAAATAGTTGATATAGAAATAAAGACAAAATATTTTATCTATTTGTACTTTGTACACATATTAATAACATAGATTGAACAACACTACAATTTAAGTTTTCTTATATATAATATTTAATTGTTTCATACCTATGATAAACAATTATAAATAAACTTTTTTTTTTCCAAAATAAAATTGTCATGACTTTATGAAGATAGGTATATAGGAGATATAGAGTTGTTTTATTATTTCATCATGAGTAATCTATAACAACAACATGTTGTATAACAACATACAACAACAATACCCTGTTTGATATAAAGTATTTATATGCAAAGACTTTAATAGTTTTATGATACTTTAATAATAAATATGTTATTCATTACATGTTACCATTATAGCTATATCAAAGTAACATACATGTGTAATTATTTCTAAATATAGAAATTGTATCAAATAAAGGACTCTCTGTTTCTCATAATTGTGTTTTCCTTAAATTACAAACGTTTCTTTAAAAAAGTTTTTAGTTTGGATTTTCTACATAATAATAATGAGTTATAACAATTCTGAAGCACATTTATACAGAACTGTGTTTTTTCCAATAAAAGCCAATTACATAATTAAATACAATTCGGGTAGTTTCAAGCAAATACCTTTTCTTGTTTAATGAGAAGTTGTACAAGTTATGTTAACCTACGTGTTGTACAAGAAGGAAAGTCCTTGAATAAATAAATATAACAAATATGTATATTTTTGATACAGACATATTTATGCAGATAAACAAACTGTTACAATATAATGCAAAGTTTTAAATGCTGATGCATTCAATGCATGTATTGAAGCTGAATAAGAGTCCATAAGTCATGACCAAATCACACTAGATAGAACTACCACATAAAAACCCCTCTCCTGAGTAAGTGAATAAATTCACTCATATAAGTAAATTGTATTGTTAACTTAATTAACAAATATCTTGTTACAAAACAAATGACTCCTTGGAATGTACACACAAAAAATGAAAATGTGTTTGATGATTATTATTGCACTAGTTGCCGCTAGCTGAGTATCTCTGAAGTAGAATTTGTTGGCAAGTGTCACAAACTCGGACAGGTTTGGATGACGATGGATGGGGCATCTTGTTGTCAGAACACTCGTTACAGAAAATCTCTCCACAGTTCCTACAGTGATGCTGTAAAGAATGTACACTATAGTGTATCGAAGCACTATGTTTTTAATAATCTTGAATTCAGTCAGTAATTTATTTCTGAAATCCTTACAAAACTAACTAACCAAGATTAGATTTAGAAACTTTGTACATAATGAAAAATACACATGTAAAAGAAAGCATTTAAATCACACATTTTAACAGTAAGTTATTCCACTGTGATGTCTAAGAAATTATAACGAGGTCAATATATACACAGTACATGTATACTGTTTATTCTATAATGCAGTAATGTGAAAATAACGCAGGAACGGTGAATATGTGCAATACATGGCCGTTACAAGCAACACAGTAAGAAACAGACCAATATATTTTAAAGTTAACCATATTGAAAGAAGTAAATCTGTGCATACAGCTGCTGAATCTTATCACCAATACTACCAGGAAAGTGTTTGTTTTCCATGATCATTCATTAGAATGACGGTCGAAATACTGTATCGAAGGAGACACTTTCCCGGACATATTTGTAACGAGGTTTTAAACATAACATCTAAACAGCCGTATGCTCTGGTTCATTTCTTTCAATCTGATTTACTATAAGATATATCCGTCCTTTAACTTACCCTTATAGAATTGGGTTTACATACCATGATGCTCTTTTCGGCATAATTCTGCACGATTATGCTATATTTTTGTACAATTCCTACGTTATTTTCAGGTTACTGCGTTACATTGCAAAATATAACATTGCTCTTCCCGTCTTCATATTTACAGCATGTATTGCATTTATTGTGTATTATTTGATTTACTGCACACAATATGGAAAACACATTTTACTAATTGAAACTGAACTTGTAAAACCGCGGGATGAAAATAGTAAGGAAAGACATGTTATATAGTGTCACTAGAAATATATAATTTTTTTACATAAATAGGGTCAAATATAAAAAAAATACAGTACAGTTAAAAACTTATTTCAGTTTGTATGACATGCAATTTATCGTTGGCAAATTACATTCCGTCAAATTTTGTTTTCAGTAGGTAAGTTTTTCTCAAAATTCTTATAATTCTAAATTTCTATCTTTATGCATACAAAACTAATTGCAAAGTTTCCATATAAAATGCATGGTTGAAATATTAACATACCTTTCTTCTAGCCACAGAAAATTGTTTTTCGCATTGTTTGCAACTTGTGACATCTTTGTCACTTGCCCAACTTGCCTCTTTGTTGGCCATTTGTAATTCTCTCATATCCTCAACCCTTAATTTTGATCTGTAATTCATTCAATACTATTAAAAACAATATATCTAACATTGTAAAATCAATTTAAAGAAATAGTGTCTAACAAAATAATTGAACAAGAGCCACCGTTGAGTGGGGGCAACGCTCAACTTTTTTACATTTTCTAAAAGCAAACAAATAAACAGTTTAAAGAAAAAGAAAAAAAAGAAAATGAAAGAAAAAATGGTTTTTCTTTTTTGAACTTTAATAGGTCTGTCTATTCACACTTTGCTTTGTCCAAGTATCCTTTCCATGAATAAATGACTAAGTTAAGAAAGTGATATCAAAATTCAATCATTTTACAGTCAAGGTCATTTAAAGGTCAAGGTCATATCTAAATTAGTCCACATGTCTGTTTGGTCACAAGTGTTGTTTTGTCCAAATATGAACCAAATCCGTACATAAAAAACAAAATTATGACCACATAACCATATTTTAATACACAATGTACAATTCATATTGACCTTGACTGTCAAGGTCATTTAAAGCTCAAAGTCAAGGTCTGTTCAACCTTTCAGGATATCTTGTCCAAAAGGTCTTTTTATCCATGTATGTCTTAATAACGAAGTTAATCCATTTACAGACAACAAAGTAATAGCCAGTTACAGCAACATAAATGAAAATTTCAATAATTTGACCATCAAGGCCAAGGTCATTTATAAATAAAGTTCAAGGTTTGTCTAGTTAACTTGACAGTCTATCCTAAAAGATTTTTATACTCAAGTTTGAAGACAATCCATTTAAAAATATCAAAGTTAAAGCCATAATTAGCAAAAAAAAAAAAACAACCAAAAAAGGGAAATTTAGAAATTTGACCTTGAAGGTCAAGGTCACTTATGAATGAAGGTCAAGGTTTGTCTTGTTGTCTTGTCTACTATAAGTTCTTGTCCAAAGGGTTGCTCTGGCGAAGTATGAAGACAATACACCAAGAAAAAAAAAAAGTTTTTAGCAAGGTACAAGTTTGCGGATGGCAACACGGAAGTGATGGTAATAATACCTCTATTATTTTTTTTAAAAAGTCGAGCTTAAAATGACATTTTAAGCAGATCTTAAATCAATTTAGTTAATTTAATTACAAGTCACATTATATTTTATAGACAGAAACTAAATAAGAAAGTTACATTGATTACCACTGTTCACTCAGTAGTATGTTTGTTTACTTACTCGCTTAAATGTGACCCCAATTCTGCCAAAGTTTTTTCATGATCATCACACTGTTTTTGCAATTCCTTAAACTGTCGTTGTAAGTTTTCATGATCAGTTTCTAAATTTTGATAATGATGTAATTCTTTCTGTAATTGTGAAGTTTTTGTCTTTTCCTGCTCTAGATTTTTCTGTAGATTACCTCTCCATTCTCTTTCAATACGTAAATCTGTTTCCAAGGCAGTTCTAAAAATGCATTTTATTTTTTACAAAGACATATTCATTTTTCATTAAAGATTTAGATTATGCTCTAGAATAAGTTCAGACCTCATTAAGATTCAGAAGAAGTTGTTTTCTCCTCATGTACTGATCAATGACTTTATTATGTACTATATTCATCCTATCACATTAAATATACAGTTTAGCATGGGTCAAACATGCTGTTCTCTATGCAAAGATTTTTTTTGGGTAATATTTCTGACCAAAGACGCTAAACTTTGCAAAGACAGTGTAAAGTTTGTTTAATCAATATATTTGACTTCATTGTGGGTAAACAACCTAATTGTGAAATAATTGACCAACATGTGAACTCCAGTAAACCCTATCAAACTTTGTGTGCATGGGTATAATAATCGAATGTATGACAAAACCCCACCCGAGTCATTAAACCCAACACCTCAAAATTTTATAGAGTGGACACAACCGCACACCTAAATTTTACAGAGTGGTCAAAACCCCACACCTCCAGTTTTATAGAGTGGACAAAACCCCACCACCTTAAATTTTTCAGAGTGACATTAATGAAATGTATTTGACATGAACTACATTTGAATCAATGTTTTTTCATTTGAATGATTTATTAATTTTTTTATTTTTCATATATGTACATATTTATTTAATAGGAATATTCTTTATTACTACCAGATATCCTTGTTTACAAATGTATAACTGATATATTAATTAATAAAATATTTTTCAATTGCTATTATTGGTCATAAATGATTGTGGCACAGTTATTAAAATTTGACTCAAATAAATGTTTACACTTTGATGTTTTAACAGTTAGTAAATTGTTTGTATAATCTCATTCATATTGTATTGATATTGAAATAAATGTTACATGCTACATTGTTTCTTTAGGGATTTGGATTAAGGTTTTTTGTGTACAGTTTGTAACACCTTTTTGAGAAGATGATCTCATGAGTAAAATTGTTTTCTTATCTTGCATGTGTTATAATGATCTAATTTGATATAACATGTGAAAACGAGCACCGCTAGGCGGAGCATTATATGCCCGAAAGTGTTTTTTTTTTTTTTAGTAAGGATGAAGCATTTGTAAGACATGGGAATAAGTTGTTCATCCTATAAAATTTTACAGCTGTAGGTTGATTAATACATGTACTTAAGTTATTAATAATGACCTTAACCTTTGACCTTGTGACCCCAAAATCAATAGGGGTCTTCTACCTTATATGGACAATCATCCTAAGAAGTTTGAATATTGTGAGCCAAATGGAACTTATGTTATCTATGTCTCTGATTATACATCATATTAATTAATTAAATGATCATTATTGACTATGATTGGTAAATAATGAAATTTCACGCCATCGTAATCAACAATGATTGATGTAAACTTAGTTTGCTGACTAATGTTGAAAGACATGTGTTGAATCATGATAAATATAATAAATCTTCCATAAAGATATTATATGTCAAATATCAAGATAATTATCATATTTTGACACTTCAACCTATCTGTGAAACAATAGCCTGTTACTTGAAGCAAACCACATATAGCACATGTACAGTCATTATTAAATTTAAAGGCATTAAAATTTTATCAAAAATATGTAATACTATGCAATTTATTCCTATAAAAGCCCTCATAAGTTACTGTGAAAATCATAAGCAACTGACATAACTGAAATATTAACTTTAACAAAAACAAAACATATACATTTCTGTACAATTTCTGGTTTAAAAAAGAACAAACTTCTTTAGCAGATAAGCTTTGTCCACAACATCAAATTCAATATAATAAAAAAAAAAAATTCTAAATAGATTAAAATTACTTTTTCGCATCCCTGTCTGCTAAATTCTGTCCAAGTTTCCTAGAAGTCTCAATTGCAGCATTTTTCTCACTTTCAATTTGCTTCATTCTAAAAAGCAAGTGGCATAAGTCCAGTCATTCACTCACATGATTCATACATATTCATACTAAAATATCAAAGATAATTCAACAACTGTTTTATATAAATTACCTTCCTGACAACATTATAACAAAAATGTTAGTTAAAAGACACATTTAAAGATATTGAAATAATTTTTCATAATATGAAATATGATACCCAAACCCTTTCAATTTCTCCTTTATAATTATTGTTTATGATGTCATTTCCTTGTGATCAATTATTGTTAACTGAATTAGAATAAGATTCATGACTTTCTCTACACATCAATCACTTATTGACTTGTCTTCTATTTATATTATCAATGATCTTACTTTTTCTCCATATCTTTGAGCACAGATACAAGGTTGTTTGTCTTCTCCTCCAGTTTACTAACCATTTCAGTTTTGTGTCTCAATGAGGTATCACAAGTCTGTAAACAAAAAAAAATTAATATTAATATTTTTCTTGACTCAAAATGTCAAGTGATTATCACTACAATCACTGTAAAATCTAAAAAGTTGTGTTTAAAAAGTCTATCTAACAATTATGTAGTGACATATACCTTAAAATAAATTCCTCACATGAAAGAATCCAAAGTCCCTGTCGGGATTCAAACCCACAGCCGTGAGGGGCAAGTGGTTTGAAGTCAACAACCTTAACCACTCAGCCATGGATGCCCCTACTATATAACATTATTTCTTATATAAGTATATACTCCCAATCTTAAAAGCACTGCAATTCTTGAAAGTAAATGGGCAACAGATGCTTACGGACAATAAATCATGTGCAGCCTCTTGCTGAGGTACTATACCTTGTTCTAACAACATTATATAACCTTAGTGTAAGCAAAAACATACTGCTGATATAAGAAAGAAAATGTTTATAACCAGGATACAACTAGACCCTTTGGTTATATTCTGATCTAAATTGTGATATTTGAATAAAAAACAAGTGTGTTTTCCTTTGCCGTACATCCGTAGCACATTGTATCACCTGTCCCTAACACAATAAACGGAAATTAACGCCATGTTGGTTTTTCTAATTGTAGTAACAATACTTCAGACTAAGTTGTTCTCGCTAATTGCTATATGTTCACTTGTTCTTATCTCACCACTTTTATATTTTATGGTATATATTTTAATAAATCTCAACTCTTTCAAAAACAACTTTCATAGAATGATGGTGAACATATCAAGCCAATTTGTTGAATTGATATCCCTCGCTCTGATAAATTAAAGCATTTCAGTATAAAGTACATCAGAGTATGAAATGAAAATGAATTTTTCTCTTCACTTATATACAAAGTCAGGAAGTCGGAATGGTGTCAAGCAAAAGAGTTCATATTGTAAAGAACATCCTTTCCAGATATAATGACATTAAATAACATAATACAATGTCATTTGGTCATTCATTTGAAGTTATTGTAACTTAAATAACAATACAAGAAACATGGCAATGCCATGAAACCAGGTTTTCAATTATCACCATTGTAGATAAATATGTTGTATTTGAAATACAAATACAAGCAACAAACAATGTAACTATGTGCAATGTAAAACATGAATAATGTAGGAGGAATTGCCACTGAAGAAGTGTTCACTATAATATTATGTATAAGGAAAAAAACAAAGGGCCATAATTAGGTCAAAAACTATATAATCACAAAACCCCGACAATATGTGCCAGGGTGCTTGATGACAAAGCTTTCTGTGAAAGTTTGAACAAAAATCCGTTGAGAAATGTAGGACGAGTTCAGCACAGAAGAATTTGTTCACTATAATTATATTGATAATTCTGTATAATGAAAAACAAGTTACAAAGTAGACATGAAATAATATATCATATCTATAAATTACCTCCAAAGATGATATGACCTTTGACTGCCAAATCAAGTTAAAAAACATGTAAACAGGATTTTCAATGTTAATGTCACTGTGACCTTGACCTTGGAGCCAGCCATGCGGAACATGCGTTCTGCATGTCATCTTGATGTGGTAAACATTTGTCTGAAGTTTCATCAAAATTCTTCAAAGGGTTGAAGAGTTACAGAGCGGACAGGATTTTCAATGTTAATGTCACTGTGACCTTGACCTTGGAGCCAGCCATGCGGAACATGCGTTCTGCACGTCATCTTGATGTGGTAAACATTTGTCTGAAGTTTCATCAAAATTCTTCAAAGGGTTGAAGAGTTACAGAGCGGACACAATTTCGTTTGACGCCCGCAACAGGATTTTCAATGTTAATGTCACTGTGACCTTGACCTTGGAGCCAGCCATGCGGAACATGCGTTCTGCACGTCATCTTGATGTGGTAAACATTTGTCTGAAGTTTCATCAAAATTCTTCAAAGGGTTGAAGAGTTACAGAGCGGACAGGATTTTCAATGTTAATGTCACTGTGACCTTGACCTTGGAGCCAGCCATGCGGAACATGCGTTCTGCACGTCATCTTGATGTGGTAAACATTTGTCTGAAGTTTCATCAAAAATTCTTCAAAGGGTTGAAGAGTTACAGAGCGGACACAATTTCGTTTGACGCCCGCAACAGGATTTTCAATGTTAATGTCACTGTGACCTTGACCTTGGAGCCAGCCATGCGGAACATGCGTTCTGCACGTCATCTTGATGTGGTAAACATTTGTCTGAAGTTTCATCAAAATTCTTCAAAGGGTTGAAGAGTTACAGAGCGGACAGGATTTTCAATGTTAATGTCACTGTGACCTTGACCTTGGAGCCAGCCATGCGGAACATGCGTTCTGCACGTCATCTTGATGTGGTAAACATTTGTCTGAAGTTTCATCAAAATTCTTCAAAGGGTTGAAGAGTTACAGAGCGGACACAATTTCGTTTGACGCCCGCAACAGGATTTTCAATGTTAATGTCACTGTGACCTTGACCTTGGAGCCAGCCATGCGGAACATGCGTTCTGCACGTCATCTTGATGTGGTAAACATTTGTCTGAAGTTTCATCAAAATTCTTCAAAGGGTTGAAGAGTTACAGAGCGGACAGGATTTTCAATGTTAATGTCACTGTGACCTTGACCTTGGAGCCAGCCATGCGGAACATGCGTTCTGCACGTCATCTTGATGTGGTAAACATTTGTCTGAAGTTTCATCAAAATTCTTCAAAGGGTTGAAGAGTTACAGAGCGGACACAATTTCGTTTGACGCCCGCCCATCCGCCCATCCGCCCATCCGCCCATCTGCCCATCCGCCCATCCGCCCGCCATACCCCAATCTAATAACCAGGATTTTCAAAATTGAAAACCTGGTTAATAAGGATTGAAGCATAAAGAGGCATTAAATTTCAACATTTGGACAAGTCATAAGTTACAGTCTTATTAGAAAAAACAACACTTTGAATTAGTTCAATTTAAAATTGTGTTTTTTTTTTATATCTATTTATCAAAAATGAAATACAAATAGGCTTCCTTTTTTCTCAAAGAATGTAATTATTACTCTTTTCATAGCTGTTAACAAAATATCAAAGATTGAAACTATTTTCTGCAACCAAAAATTAATCAATGACACACATATGATTGATAGTTCAACATCCAAGCAAAGACACTTTACTTAAAATATACAATAATACCAGCTTACTTTACCATCAACACAATTTCCACTAATTTAAAGCAAAAAGAGTCATTATATATATATATATATATCTATCTATATAGCAATAATAGCATATTTTGTAAATGTGATCAAAAGTAGACTACTTCATATAAAAGAAACTAAATCAGCCTTAAGGGAAACAAGAGGGAAATATTATGGCAACTTCAACAAGTCACATGTTGCAGAGATGTTATAAAGCAGATGTTCAGACATTAGCGGATACCCACACACATTTCGAGGCTGTCTTGTGTTTTAGTATAAAAGGCCGACACAGAGTAAATATACAACACTATGTTACCATCATATCACTAACACTGCCTTTACATTGGAAAATTATTAAAGTGAAGGTATTTATCATTATTTTGTTTGTATCATATTTTATATTTCTTGAAATATTTATTTCTTTAATAAAGTTAAGATAAAACAACATTTTACAGATTATACAATTAATTTTGTATTGTTTGCTTTTAAAAGTTGGAATAATTTGTGTACACCAAAAACTTTAATTCACTTTCTATATTCTTTATGTACACAGCTAAACAATATGTCTTTCTTCCTGATTTTGCCAGATTTTAAAAAGCGTTCTTTTTGTGATGAATTATTATATTTTTTGCAATTCATTTATGATGAAAAAAAAGAGTTAAAAGCAATAGTCATCACTTAGAGAATTTTTCCTATTGTATATGTCAAAATGAAAACAAAAATGTAAATAATTTCAACAAACAGAATTTTTATTATGCAAAAATGATTCCTCTAAAACTCAATGGTGTTTGAAATTTAGTAATAGATGCAGAAAGAGGCTGTTGGCATTAAAATTATAAAAAAATATGACAGTGAAATTTGCTAATATAGAAAAGAATAAAAGTAGATGATTCCAATTGGTGCAGATTAATGTCTGTAAATCTTAATCAATTTCTTGACAGCATTTTTATAACATTTGAAGGGATGAAATTGTTTTTTAAATAAAATGATGAAGTCTTAGATGTGAACTAAAATAAGTTTGTATTTTTTTTTTAAAGAAACACTGACATTTCATTTATACAATCAAATAATAATGTTGCTAATTTTTGAGAAAAAAAAACAACAAAACAACACCATACTAATTTCTTTGTGTTTACGTATGCCCAGTATCTTACACAATTTTTTAAAAGCACAAATTGCAAAAACTATTGATGTCAAAGTTAAATATCAATATAGTATGAAAACAATAAAAAAAAAACAAAAAAAAAACAATCCTGTCTGGTAAATACATTTTTTTTTTGGTATTTTATACTATTTCAAATGTGAAAATGCTCTCTTTTACTTATGAAATACCAACAGAATGGTAAATAAAACAGAGGCAGAATATTTGCAAAATAAAAATCTAATCAAATAAAATTTAGATTATAACTGACAAAGCTGAAAGCTTTCATTAGTTATCAGAACCTAAGGCATAGCTAATATATGGAAACAAACTCTTCATCTGGAATTATTTGCGTTGCTAAAAGAAGAAAGTATGAAGGAAGTTTAGCTGAACTATATCAAACATGCAAGTTTATTCATGACATTTGTGTTGGTAAAGCAGAGAAAAGGTTACAAATCTCATGATTTTATCACTTCTAGATATTGTTATTCCATACTGTCATCAAAAACCGTAATTATGTTTGTCAAAATGTGTTAGTGTATTATAACAATAGCCTTGCAGAAAACTATATAATCTAACAATTTCTCCTCGCAACCTCTCTTGCTATACCAACCTCCTACTGGACTACTATTTTGTGCGCAAACAAAGGTATGTGAAGCCAAGGTTTATATTTGTGATTAATTACGTGTTTTTCCTCATTTACGTTATAATCATAAAAAGAAAATAATTTAACAGTAAACAGAATAAAAACTTATTATGAGAGGAACTGACTAAAAACATCATTATATATAATGACAAGCGATTTTATCATTGATTCATTAATGAATAAAAAGAGTGTCGATGAATTATAATATAGTGGGATTTTATTCTGGTAAAATATTGCCATCATCTTGTCAATTTCAATTTATGTAAAATAATGTAAGTTTATTTAAAATCATTAAAATATAAACACGGAACATATTATTTTATATTCAAATTTTACTTTTTATAAAAAAAATAAATATGATGTTCATTTATGGCATTATTCAGCATCTTTTAAAGATCCTGTATAAGGATGTAACATACAGTTAAGTGAAGTTTTATATATGTATATACAAAAAGTCATGTAAAAAAAAATTTCCAAACATGTACAGCAAATGTTTATATACCCGGTAAATTATAATTAAATGTTAAAAATAATGCATTCATTTCTTATTTAAAAAAAAAATGGCTTTGACTTTTATCAAAAATAAATTGTCTGATTACCTTTATTTACATGAAATGTTAAATTGGATAATTTCTTGATAAATAATGCTTTTTGAAACTTACAATATAGATAAATCATATTTGAGCATCAGCTTTATAATATCAAACCATAAAAAAATTACATCACAGGGTCTTTATCATTTAATTATATACATTGCTGCTTCATCAATTTTTGCCAAATCAAATTATTACTACTGAAATATATTCAGATGTCATACCTTTAAATTAAATAGTGCTGTAGCTGTTAAATGTAAATATTTCTGACAAAAATACTTTAACAAAAAATCATATATGTATGTATGCACACATTGTGGATATTTGTAAAATTTTAATTGACAATATACAAAATTATAGCTTCTAAAATTGTTATATTTTTGGTTGCTCAGTCAACTTTCTTTTAAATTTAAAAACTTTCATTACTTTGTCCCTATTTGTAAACTTGTGATATTAAATTATAGACTGTGTATAAATTTGAGAAAAATTATTTATATTTGCTATAGTGTTATATTAGAACTTTATCACATCACAGCATAATGGAGCGGCTTTAATATCGCTTAATAAGTAAGGAACATTAGTTTTGCATTTCATATTAGATATAAAATAAAATAAAATAAAATAAAATAAATAAATAAATAAATAAATAAATAAATAAATAAATAAATAAATAAATAAATAAATAAATAAATAAATAAATAAATAAAGTGTCATAGAATCCTTTAAAATAACCTATTGCAACCATTTGAGATACATTTTACAACAAAGTTACATTTTCCACTCAGTTAATCTGTTTTATCACTAAAATCTTAATTATTTTCATAAAAAAAGCATACGTTGTGCCTGTTTTACTAAAAATATTTCTGTTGCACCAAAAGATCTCCATTTCGTATTTTAATCATACCCATATTAGTTCTCTGCCCTTCATTTCAAACTTAGTTCCTGTAACATTTCATAATCGTCTTATAGAAGAAAAAAAAAGAGTTTTGTGTGTGTTGAAGATGGTCAATAACAAAACAATTCCGACGGTCAGAATGTGATTAGTCGCATAGTTATCGTTGAAAAACCTAAATTTTATCTAACATAAAAATTATTTATTTTTGAAAGCACAAACAGTAAACTTTTTGAAGAGAACTATTTTGTGTCACCCGTATTAAGACATAGTGAACTCCTTGCCATAAAGATTATCCAGTAACTAGATGGCTGTAAGCTATAAAAATTATTATTTTCTTATCTTTTTGTTTAAAGGGACTCCTGGGGTTTAAAAGCCTAAAAACATAACATTTGAATTTCTTACATAAATGAGCTGGGGCACTTTAAACAGAAATATATGTAAAGATAGTTAAGAAATATACTTTGAAATAAATTGAAAATCGTATTTTTATGCTTTTCTTAGCCCGATTTGAGTGAAAAGCGTTTAAACGCTTTTCATTTTGGGTCACTTTTTTACAATTTGAATAATTATTCTGGAAAAATGAAGTGCGCAAATGATCTGAAATTTTGCACAAAGATTAGTGGTCTAAACCTACATCAAATGGTACATTTATCTGGAAAAAATATTTTCAGTCCCATCATGTCAAAAAACCTCAGTGGATCTAGATCGAGTCCCTTTAAATTAAGAAAACCAGGATAGCATCAGTACATTTTCAATACAGAAATGAACATGCTTGTAATTACCAAAAGTGATGTGTTATTTGTATGGTACTTTTTAACAAAGGTTCCATCTGCTTCTTCGGCTAAGTAAAGCCAGTTTAAAAAGTTTGATACTACTAAGGTACATATATATAATCTTCTTTTACAATTAAAGGAGGCACAAATATAATTCTTACTGAGGCAACAATGAATAAGTGTATCTGCATACAAAATAACGTTTAGGTATAGAACAAATCAATCTATTGTTTAAACTATATTGACATTTTGAACAATCTAATATTTGCAGCCTTGTGTTAAGCCAGGACAATGCCCCCTAAATTGTACAAATAGTACAAACAGAATAGTGAAAAGTGAATCAAACCACAATAATGAAAATGGTCAAAGACTCAATTTGAACCTGTTCACGACAAGCAGTGTCTATATACATGCAATCAACCACATTCCCCTCAAAATTTGTTTTTTTTATTGTTTTCTGTTTGCAGCAGAAAGATGAATGCCTGCATATTATTGACAACTCTTGTTACTATGATAACAATAGAGAAGGTTCAAGGTCAAAGTTATCATTTTAGCAATGGATGGAATCCAGGAAAAAGATCAATGCAAGAACCGGTGTGCCATTTTAGACAGGATGTCCAAACGCTAGTTTTAAAACTGATTGAGGTAAGTACATTGACCAAACATACCCCCTTCTTTTTTCCTGCTTTAAAACTGTTCCATGAAAATAACAAAATTTTTAATGTTCTAAGATATTTTTCTCATGCTGTTGGTAAAAATTGGATGTAATTCTCCTCAAAAAAACAAAAAAAACTGTATGTACGACAAATTTGTAGTCCACTCTCAATTTGGTTAAACAAAACACTTGTCTATGATGCTTTAGCTTTGTTGAGATGTCATAGGCTAGCCAGTTTCCATGTCAATCCCAGTCACTCCTTACTTTTATAACCAAGATATTTGCAGTATCATTTTCATTGTGAATCAAATTACATGAAACATTATATTCATAGGATTTTATGGTGTAAATGTGGCAAGGATGCATCATAACTTAAAAATTTGCAATTGATCATTTCATACTTTTATTATAAATTGAACTTTATGGCAACAAACTAAAATGATCTCTAAAGCTAGTAGGGCTTACATTCCTGGAATATTACTCAACCTACACAACTAGAATGATAGTAAATTAAATAATGTGCAATTGAAATCGGCAGTTGGAGGAAACATCCTGAGAGAAATAAAAGTGCAAAATAATGAAATAAGTACATTTATTCTATATTTTAACTGTAAATTAGAAAAACTAATAGTCACAAAAATATGCTTAGTTGGTTAAAATGTTCATGCCAAGCTATTGTGTTTTAAATGTTAACTTTAAGGACCACTACCAATGAGTTTATTTTGTTTGGGCTTTAAGTCTCACCAACACTGTAAATGTCATATCGCAACTTAAATTTCCAGCTTTCCATGCATTATTTCAGGTACGTTCATTGTCCAGTAAGCTAGGTGGATAACTTCCTCATATGAAGTTTAGAATTTAAATCCCTGGTGGGATGGTACGGTACAAGTGGTTTGAAGTTAACAACTCAATCCACACGACAACCACTGATGCCAGAACATCATTTTAAATTTTTGATCAAGTTCTAATACAACTTAAATATTGCCTATATGACTTGAAATACTGTTGGAAAAAGGCGTAAAATGAAACAAACAAACAAACAACTTAAATATAGATAAAGGGAACTAGACAAATCATCAAAAAAAAACCCAACACAAATATCCTCTGTGTTTGGATTGCATGTTAATAATGTAACAATATTGTATATTGTTTCAATTTTGTTTTCACAAACAATACAAAGGTTTTTATGAATTATGATAATAAAACAAAAAACATTGAAATTTTATGAGACTTGATCTTGTTTTTCAGGATGAAGTATATAGAATGTTGTCGGATCCAAGCTGCATCGGTGGCGTACCAACACTAAGAAATTTTGTATGTTTTATTATTCTTAAAAAAATAATACTAAGATAATTTTACTTTAGGCATAGTTTAATATTCTTTCTGTTAAATTAAAAAAATGTGTTGTGTTATATCCGACCGATCAATATTGTAAATAGGTGTATAATTATAATATCCAAGTAGAGTGATAAAATACAAACAAATGAGAATTGAAATATATCAAATTTCACAGTTAAGTGTCTACAGTGGAATCAAAATGTCTGATTATTTTGTCAAAATGCCAGTCACTGCTTGATAATGTCCATTGAGAGTAAATATTTGTTTCTTTCTAATTTAATACAATGTAATTGGTACAGAATGTTGAAACAAATTCAGATAAATATACAGATAAACAGAATTCCCTCTATATAAGTCTATACACTGGAGCTTTGCTTATCTAGTAATTCCACTGACTTACTATATTTCTACAAAAGATTCTTAAAAGTTGTTCTACAAAGTCTGGTTCTATTTTAACTTTCATACTTAAGGTACAGAATGTTTAATTCAATCAAGAAGTTTTTCTAATTTACAGTTAAAATATAGAATAATCATTTTTCCCTTTATTTCAGCTAAAGAAAGACCTTGCCTATACAGTTCCATTAGATGATAAAAAGTGAAGACAAAAAATGCTGACACTCACATGATCAATGCCAACAAAATCGTAACATCGAAAATATTAATTTCTCAAAAGACAGTTTTATAACATCTTAAGATTCATTTGACATTGATTAACTAACTATTTTACCAGCATGAACACTAAAACATGGATACAATGAAAAGGTTATTTGTTTAATTAATTACATTTTTTTGTAAAAAAAAGTCTTACCAAATGTATGTTAATATGTAATGGCAGTACTTATTACCTTATTGTCATTGTGATTTACTAAACAGAAACTTGATTCATCAAAAACATATAAGCACTTTGCATCAGTTAGTCAAAAGAGAATTATCATGAAATTCTTCAAAGTGTTTTTGTTTACGTATTTGCATCCATCCAAAGACATTTCCCAAAATGCATGTATGTTTCTTCAATAAGGGACAGGAGTACTATAGCTGCACTTAAAAGTATTTATATCATTAGAAGATGACCACTGAATAGCATTGCTTTTTAAATTGAAAATCATTTTGTGATATTAACTTTCCTCACTTTACAGACTTACTAAATGTTATAATAACAGATGAAGACAAAACAATCAGAAAAAGTTTTCAGGTGGAACATAAACAATTTGCATACAAAAACATATGAATGCAAACATCCCATATTTCACCTACATTAATGAATAAGCAAAAACAATTAAATTAAATAAGTCCTTAAAATCTACTAATAATCTTATGGTGATATTTTCAACACAAAGCCATTGAAACATAAACACAATAAAATGATATGTAAAAATCAACCACTGTTGAATATGCCTGTTAATATTCTAACAGAATTTGCTATGTTACAATTGTAACAGTAAATTTTGGTCAGTTAAGTATATATATGTGTGGAAAGACATTATGTAGCAGTGTACAGTATAACTAATAAATGATCGGATTAATGCATTCTAACTGAGGGCCTATCAATTCTTTTAATTACATCATGGTTTATTGACAACTTATTATTAGTTTAAGCAGGGAAAGTGCTGTACATTTTGTTTTGTCCAAGAAAATATCAAATCCGTACATAAATAACAAAATTACCATAATTTAACCAAAATTCAATTTTTGACCTTGATGTTCAAGGTCATTTAAAGCTTAAGGTCAAGGTCAGTTCAACTTTTAAGGTCTTGTCCAAATGGTTGTTTTGTCCAAATATGAAGATAATCCTAAATTACCAAGTAATAGTCAATTGTAGTTAAATTCAGTGATAATTTAATAATTTAACCTTAAAGGTCAAGGTCATTCATAAACCAAAGTCAATTTGAGTTTCATATACTGTACGAGGGTTGTTCAAAAAGTAATAGGACTGCAGCTCTACTGTTCACATTTTTTAATTTACGTACATAATTTTACAAGAAACAAATATCGGAACATGTTCTATATATACAGTGAAAAAATCAATACAAAATGTTAACAAATAACAATGACAAGGGGTACGAATTGCGGCGCACGCTGACAATACAATAAATGACGTTCATGACGTTGTTTACTGAATACAAAATAAAACAAGCAATTATCATAGTATTGCAAGCAATCCATAAGTCCCCTACCGGTAAGAGCCCAAGCAACATTCTGAAGGGCCATTGGCCATTCACTTAGGTTCCTATTTTAAGTAAATTTGTTGAAAAAGTTCTTTAAAAGTGATCACAGGAAACAGTTTTTATGTACAGACAGACGGACTGAAAGACACTCTAAAGTTATTTTTTAAACATCCCTGTTATCAAAATATAACATTTTTAAAATCCTATCATGATTGAAGAAGTTGGAGTAAAAATTACCAATTTCTCAAAAAAAAGTCTAAGTTCAAAAGGGGCATAATTCTGGAAATAGTCTTGCTAGAGTATTGGACACTCACAAAATTTAATGTTGAGTGATAATAAGAAACATTTATATGAAGTTTGAAGTAGATACATTCAGAAAAAGAAGTTATTAAAAAAAAAACAATGTTTTTTTCATGAAAATTTTAAGTTCAAGGGAGGTAATTCTGATAAATTTTGTGCTAGAGTTGTAAACCTTGTCACATATGATGTGGTTGATGACAAGCAACTTATATTTAAAGTTTGAAGAAAATACCTTAAGAAATAAAGAACTTATAGTGAAAAAACTTAAAAACTAGAATCAGAAATCTTGAAATTCAGTCTATTTGTTGCCATAGCAACCAGAATTTTCAACATAGGAAGATAAGAAAAGGATGTGCATAATTTCCATACCGCCATCTACCCATATGTCAAGTTTCATAAACATATTTTCAGTACTTTTTGTGTTATCACTGGATCCAGGTTATGTGTAAAATTTGCCATATTTTCAGTCTATTTGTTGCCATAGCAACCAGAATTTTCAACATAGGAAGAAAAGAAAAAGACGTGCATAATCTCCATACTGCCATCTATCCATATATCAAATTTCATAAAAATATTTTCAGTACTTTTTGCGTTATCGCGGGATCCAGGTTATGTGTAAAATTTGCCATATTTTCAGTCTATTTGTTGCCATAGCAACCAGAATTTTCAACATAGGAAGAAAAGAAAAAGACGTGCATAATCTCCATACTGCCATCTATCCATATATCAAGTTTCATTAAAATATTTTCAGTACTTTTTGCGTTATCGCGGGATCCAGTTTTGTGGACGGACGGACTGACGGACGGACGGACAGACGGACGGACTGACGGACGGACGGACGGACGGACGGACGGAGGGTAAACCTAAAGTCCCCTCCGGTAAACCGGTAGGGGACTAACAAGTGTCATCCATCTTGAAAGTATTCCCTCTAGTGCTCTAGTGTCTGAATCATGTGACCATGATCAGGTCTCATATGGGGATATTAAGCGGGAAAGAAAGCGATCACAATTTCGATCAACTCTCCAAGAGAAATGCCCAATAGCCGGTCATTCTCCACTTTTCTCGAATATTTTGAGTAAACTGGGAACAAGCATGAAGTTATAATGCTGATGCAAAAGTGATTTATATTATTAATTTTCACATGTTTGTCATTGTACGTACGCGTTTTTAAAACAAAATGATTATATAAAGTAAAATAACAATATTTATAAATTGAAAAGTATCATTTATTTAAACAAAATTCGGGGGAAATACTGCTAACCATTACCGTTAATCATTATTATATTAATTTATTAAAACCAAGTATTATCTAATGAGATACAATAAAATAGTGTTTGATAGAAACGTCTGATATACAATGCTTTGGTGAGAACTGAATAAGTAGACCAGAAGCGGACATAAAAAGTGCCGGACAGTCCGCATACCGTTTACCTTCGATCCATTTACAGCGCTTTTGCAATTGACGTCACTAACGTCCCGTCAATTTTCCGCTTTCATTCTCACACTTTCCTGTTAGATATTTTGTATTCGCCGTTTTTAAAATGATTGTACCAGCTGAAAACGAGTGTCCTGATGACAGGATATGATTGTCCTTTCTTAATTGTATCATTTTGTATGTATCTGAAAGAATATTGCCAATTTATTGGCACAATTTAACGATCGCACGAATTTCTGTTTGTTACCGAGTGCCGTATTTCTACATTTAACGCCATGACCACAGCTGTTTAAAACTAAATAATTATGTTATTTCATGCCCGAATGACGTCAAATTTAGATATAATGTCACTTAAAATTTAATATAAATAGATGTGTTGGTGGAATATATGGACAAACAAAGAATAAATTATGAATTAATAAGGAGTACAACTTAGCTTCAATAACTATTTTTATGTGCTGCGCCAGGTGCGTGTAATTATGGTTATTCAATAGCACAGGAAACGCGCGTTCGTCACAATAAATTAATAAACTTATGCATAAATTGTAGAAAACATTTTACGATTCCTATACATATGAAAATATTCTAAATTGGATGAAATATGAATATGCAAGACTCTCAGTCCTATTACTTTTTGAACAACCCTCGTATAACTGGATATTTATGCGTTACAAAAATTTCGCGAATGTCAAAAAGATGACTTTTTGCATGCGGAAATATTTGCGAAAATAAGATTTCTTGAATTTAATACTGTTTTTGTGATATCTTAAATTAAGCAGGTACATGTTAAGAATATGCTATTATTGTAATAATTCTATTCAGTTTTTAATACGATGCTGTCCGGTAATCTTGCGCACCTATGCACTTATCAGCTAATTAACTACGATTCAATAAATACAAAAAAACTCATTATTATTTTCCTATTTGCAAAAATCTTTAAGACATATAATGACAGAAATATTTTTTGGAAATAACTCATTGAACTGCAGGAGTGCAACAATGTAAACACTTACCACCATGTTTAATCCCAACAGTTATTTGTCCGGTGATCTTGCGCATGTGTTATGAATGACGTCATGGTAGCTAATTTTTTAAAGTATGGTGTCCCAGTAATACTATCAATATAAATTTTGTGAGTCCAATTAATGAAAAGCTAATTTAAACTGTTCAAACTGTTCAAACAAAACTATAACACAAACTTATTTACATCAAGGGTTTGTTATTTTACTGTTCACTACTACACCTGGGACACCTGAAATCATCACTACCAGTAAATGTCTCAATTTCTGTACAGAATTTCAGATGCACCCATTGACTACACACAGTACAACACCAGTTAACAAATGCAATGCTCTTGTCTAGACCCGTTTACGCTTCCGTAGAAAAAAAATTAAAAAGCGCAGGAGGGGCCCATTTTGACAAGATGGCGGGAATCGGCAGGAGATAACAACTGAACACACCTTAATTTGCAAAGGGAAAAAAGAAAATTTACAACGTTTTATCGGTGCAATACTGCTTAAAAATGTGTGATATTGATTGTTTTTCTTGCTGGACGTAAGATTTTGGCACTGGATGAATAGACAGGAATATAATGGGAAAATAGGTCAGTGGGCGTGTTTATGAATAAATAAATAGGATGACGAAATAATGTAAACAAACATGTTTGACAGATATTTTTTTAAGTTGTAGTTCAAAGTAAGACCAAGTCACAAATTTTGGCTGAAAATTTCTAGCGACAGCATAAACAAACAGCCAAACGAAAGGAAATGCCGAGTGCGCAAGATCACCGGCCGCGCAAGATCACCGGACATGACTGTACCTTTAATATTTGTATAATTGTTTGAAATATACATTGTTAGTTTGATAAAGGACCTGATCAAACATTTCTTTGTCATATTTTGAAACATCCTTCTGTTATATGAATAACATACTGCGTTATAACCACACATACATTGTTTCATTAAAACATTTGTGATTTATCAAGACCAAACGTAAACCACAAGCAATGAGAAAAATCAATCTCTTTACCTGAACAGTCAAACTTATTTAT